CCGCCGACCCGCACGCAGGTGAGTGGAGAGGGGTACTGCGGGGGCGCCGGCCCTGGGGAGGGGGCTGAGGCATCAGGGACGCAGAGGCATCATCAAAACTGCCCCCCTTTTCCTTCGGCTGGGTAAAACCATGGGGGAGAGGTTTGCAGTCTCCACATCACCAGAGAGCAGGTTCAGAGTTCACACACGAAAACTTGGCAGCTCTTTGCCAGAAAGCCACGTTCCCCGGCACCCTCCTCGTCCCCCAGCGTGGGCAGAGACGCGTGCCCGGGCACTTCCCCGGGGTCCCTTCTTTTTTTCCACCTGCAGACGTCAAAGCAATAGCACGCCCTGGGTCTTACGTCAGGGTTCCCCATGGGTTTGGGGTTTTGCTGCCTGGGGGGTGGCCTGGGAGCGGTGAGTAGCAGGTTCTGCAGTCGGGTGGGTATGTGTCAGCAGCACAGAGCAAGTCCAGGGCAATGGCTGTGACTCTGGCTGCTGGCAGCGCCCAGGGCACAGGGGTCTCTGTCTGCTGACAGAGGACACCCCTTGGTGACTCCTGCCCCTTGCAGGGAGCAAACACTGCGGGACATTCCCCCCTGGGGCTGCTTGAGGCCACCCTTCCTAGACGCAGATACCCAGAGGGATCCCTTGCCTTGTCCCCCTCAGGGAATGGGCAGGAGGTTGTCCCCCCTCCTCCGGCACTGTCAGGCAGACACAGAGCCCCTCTGCCCCATTGCAGGCTGGAGCAGGCGAGGTGCTTCACACTCCTCTGCCTGAGCTGTTGCAGAGGGTTGGGAGCTCCCACGTAACCTCCAGGCTGGGACATTGTGTCTCAGGAGACAGGGGACACAGCCTGCGTAAGCGAGAAGCAGCTGTGCCGTAACACCTTGGATGGAGCCAGTGCTGTGTAAGCTGAGCCCGCTCCGGGGCTCCACGGCCACCAAGGGGGACAGCTGCCACCGGGCCACGGGCAGGAGGGCTCCGGCAGAGGACAGCGGCAGGGTCTCTGCTCCTCTGCCTCTGGGGTGAAGGGTTTGCCTCCCAGCTTTGGGCTGAGCTCCCCATCAGGACGGCTGCCGGAGCTGGAGGTCAGGACAGAACTCGCAGTGCCCTGGCTCCCGGGTCCCTGGCGCTGGCTGCTGCCTGGCCATGTGATGGCGGGACCGGACATTCCTGTGCCTCAGCTTCCCCTGACACCCTGGGAGGATGATGAGGGTGCAGGAGGCCTGACTCAGCCATGCCAGCCCCAGGGCTTTGCCAGGCAGCAGGAAAGCTCAGCACTATTATGGGCAGGGAGGGGCCAGGCAGGCCAGGAAGCGATGGGAGGATCCGGGGTTTTCTCACACCCCCTCAGCTCCTCTGGCTCCTGGCATACTCCACTCTCCCGCAGCCCTGGGGTCTTCTCAGGCGTGACATGGGGACTCCACAGCACCAGCAGTCCTAGCAGATGCAGCAGCCCTCCATGGTAAGACCTCTCTTCCCGCAGCGGGTTAGCTGCTGTGTCTGGGGTAGGTGCCCCCTCCCCGGCCCCATATCCCTCCATCAGCTCCTCCGCATCCCCAGGGCACTTGCTGCCCTGTGGAGACCTGTCCTGCTGCCAAAGATCATCTGCTGCTCTCCTGCTCCCAAGCTGGCAGCACACGCATGGGAAGCCACTGCTGGTGCCGGTGGTGGCACGGCACAGTGGGAGGGCACAGGCACCGCTGGCGGTGGGCAATGGCACGGGGCTGCCCCGGCGCTGAGGCTCCCGTCCCGTGCCCAGATCATCTCTGCTGGCAAGGGGAACGGGGAGCAGGGGCAGCCCAGAGAGGGTCCCTGTGCCAGGCTGCTCCATGTCCCAGCAAGGCAAGCAGCCAGGCGCGTGCTCCCGGGGAGTCAAGGGGCCCCCGTAGGGGGTGCCAATCCCTTGGCCGGGGTCCCACATCCCTCCAAGCAAAATTCCCCGCTGTGCATGTCAAATCCCATCTGGCAGAACCACTCCTGGGTCCTCCCAGTGCCGGTGAGGGCAGCCACAGCCTGGCCAGAAAGAGCCGGGTGTTTGTGGAGTCCTTGCCTGGGAGCAGATTATTCACCCCTCAGTTTCTGCTCCCAAACAGGTCCGTGCGCTCCACCTTGCTCTTGCTTGTAAATAGTTTCCTCTCCACTGTGGGATGGTTGTTCCCTGGGCAATAACAACAGCAACCGGGATGCAGCCGGCTGGCCAGAAAGCCAGGCTGCCGGCCAGGAGGCCACGATGGCTGGATGGTGCTTCTCACCGCTGTCCCGGGGGCATTTCTGTGCTGGGGTTACGTGGGCAGGGGCGGCTGGGGGAGCTGACATTGCAGCCACCTCACCCCCCACCCCAGGGTCTATGGGGCCAAGAGGGGTCATCCCCGCAATGCACGGCTCCCTTCCACCACTCCGGTTTCACAGGGATCGCTTTCGGCTGCCTGCCATGGAAAATGCAGGGCACGCATGCTGTGGCCGCAGCAGGGAGGCTCAGGGTGACACTTGCAGAGGGATGCTGCCGGCTCCCCCGGGCAGGGGGTCCCACCGGGGGCAGGCATGCCCAGGGACTCCTGGGCTCTGAGCCTGGGTCCCCCCCAGGGTCAGGCAGGGAGTGATGCTGTGGTGGCTCCTCTTGCCAGGAATCCAGTGCCCATCCCCAAGCCTGGATGCATCCTGCGTGCTGCCAGGGCTGCGCGAGAGCCAGGCCAGGCACCATCTCGGTCACCTCCTGGCTTGGATCCGGGCCAGAGCCCGCCCCGGCTGGGCTGGGAAAAGCCTTTGAATCAGGGTCATCTCCCGGGTGACTGGAGACTCTCAGAGCCACATGAGCCACTGTCCTGCCAGGGAAGGGACGCCAGGCACCCGGGGAGCAAAGCACCAGCAACACCAGGACAGAGGAGCTCGACTGGGGTCCTGCCCCCCACCGTGCCAGCCACAGCCCCAGGACAGGTAGGGGACCAGCCATCGGCCTGCCAGCGTGAGTGCCGAGAGCAAACTTTCCCTCAGATCTGGACAGTCTGCGTTTGCAGGCGCTGGAGGCTGCTGGCAGCCATGCTGCCCTGTTCCGGCTCTGGGCTGGCTCCGTGTGTGCTCTGGGCGCCTCTGTCCCTGTCCCCCACATGTTCCCCTCCTGCCCTGTGCGGTGCCATGGGGCAGAAGCCAGCAGCTCCCTGTGGGGACCGAGTGCTGGGCTGTTGTCAGCTCCTACAGGCTGGCTCTGCCCGGCTGGCAGGGACGCAGCAGCCACCTCACCAGGAGGACTCACGGCGGCTTGAATTACTGATGGGAGGCTAGCAGGGCACAGCCGCTGCGGGGAGACGGGCAAGCTGCTCAGGTGGCCATGCCCCTGCAGTGAGGGGATCCCTGCCTGTCCCCACAGTCCCCCAGGGCCCCCGGGTGGTCGTGGCTGCGCCGAGGTCTTCACCCACTGCCTGGTGCCGGGCACCTAGCAGGGAGCAGGGGTGGATGGTGAGGATTCCTGCGCTGACTTCCTGACCTTGCCTCAGTTTCCCTCTCAGCCAAACAGGGGGTGTGTTAGCAGTGAGCTGGAAATGCCAGCCCCCTGCCAAGCCCCGGTGCTCGCTCTGAATAACCAGGGGAAGGTGCTGGGCTGGCTGGACCAGTCCATCCCACCTGCTGATCTCAGCCAGAGCTGGGCCTAAGCATCGTGACTGTGACCTGGCAACTGCCTCCCATCTGGAGGTGTCCCCAACCTTTCCAGCCCCAAAAGTGGGACAGGCAGGGGATGGTGTGGCAGGGATGCCAGGGCGGGGGCAGAGGTGACCGCTGCAGTCCCTTGGCTTTGGTGACTGTGGGTGCCAGGATGCTGGGTGCCTCTGGCTGTGCCCCAGGGCTCCCTTCTGTGGTACGAGGTGCCTGAAGGCACACGGGTGGCAGTGCCAGCTGGGCCCTGCTGTCCTAGGCTCTTTGGAGGGCTGGTAGGTGGCAGAAGCCATGGCCACACTGCACCCCACTGCGCCCTTCAACCCCTGGGTTCCCGCTGTTGCCTGCCGCCCCTCCCAGGGTCTGCAGGCAAGGCAGGAGCCAGTGAGCTACTGGGTGGGTGCTGGTGGTGGGCACCCCGTTGTGCTGACCATAGCCCATGGAAGCTGACCCCCTGGCTCTTCTCTTGCAGTCGATGCCTCCAGGAGAGCCTGCTGAGCCCCAGCCTGCAGCATGTCCCAGCTCTCCTCCACCCTGAAGCGGTACGTCGACTCATCCCGCTATGCTGAGACCACCTACAGCAAGGTGCCCAGCGGCTACAGCTCCTGTACCTCCTATGGATCCACTTTGGCCACATCCTACGCAGACAGCGACAAAATCGGCTTCAAAAGCAGCTACCTGGCCTCCTCACGGTACCCCACAGGCCACGTACATCCGCACCCAGCCCCGGCTGCCCGGCAGCGGGCTGAGTGGGGGCGCTTGCTACACCTTCGCGGGGGCCCCCAGCAGCCCCGTGGGCTACCTGCCTACCACAGCACCTCTAAGTCGTCGCAAATCCATCAGCCACTCGGACCTGGCATGGGAGTTTTCAGGGCTGCATGCCTCGGACAACGCCTACACGCCCACCTCCAGCCCCCTCAGCACCCGGGGCCGCCAGGACCTCGACGCCCTGCAGGGTCTCTACCAGGCTGCCGCACGCTCCGACTATGTCCGTGGCTACCTGGAGAGCTACGGGAGGAAAAGCAGCCATGGTAGCCTCCCCACAGGCTCCCTCGGCCCCTCACAGGCCACCCTCGGCTCTACCCTGCTGCCCTCAGGCACCCGCTGCACCAGCCAGCCCTGCGAGAGGGATGATGGCTACTGCGACGTGCCCACCCGGGACCCCACGGTACGTGGCGCCTGCTGGGGGCGGGGGACAAAGCTGTGCTGGGGTAGGGTATGTGGTCCAAGCCTGCTTGTGCTGAGCCGGGGAGCCCGGGGCACCCTGTGCGCTCTCCCTGGGAATCTCGGTGTCTTGCTCCATGCCTCAGTTTTTGCATCTGCTGACCCTTTGAGCCCTTGCTGGCACAGCAGTCCAGGGCCAGCGCTGCTGAGGCAGCTGTGTGCAGCTGTGCTCTGAGGGGCTGTGCTCTCGCTGCCTGCACTGCTGGGAGCACAGCTCGGGGGGCTAAGGTTGTCCGTGTGCTGGCAGGAGCGCGTGCGCTGCACCTTTCTGCATGTGTGCGTGACAGTGGGTGATGGCTCATGCAGGCAAAGTCACACCCCCGTGCGTGCAAACCTGCATGGGCGCGTGCACACCGTGCACAGCTGACTGTGCTCACATCCCCTCTCCTCGGCTCCCTCCCGGCCCTGGCCCAGCGTGGGGCCACAGAGGGTTTCCTGCTGCCTCGTCCCAGCTAGAGAAGGTGACGTGCCTGGGCTGGGCGCTCGCCCTGCTGGAGACACCCAGGTGGGAAGGCTGGTTTGGCTGGTGCTGGCTCTGGCATAGTGCCTCGGTGCCCAGCTGCCAGTCGGGTTTTCCACTGGTGCCCTGGATGCCTGATTCCCTGGCATGGTTTATTGCTACCATCCTGGGGCCCTGTGCCCCAGCCCCCAGCGTGGGCTGGGGCAG